GGAAGTAGGTCACCGGGGGGCACACTCTTGGGGACTGTGTTTTGTCCCTGGCCTCTTTCTCTCTCTTCTTTCTGGCTGCYATGACTGAGCATCTTTCCTCTGTCAGGCCCTTCCTCCAAGGTGTTTATGCCTGGGAGCCAGCTGACGGTGTACTGAAACCTTTACAACCATGAGCCCACATAAATTTTTCTTCCTTTAAGTTGTTTTCCCCAGGTATTTGTCAGTAATGAGAAGCTAACACAGCCCCACCTTTAATCAGCAAAATAGTAACTAAAACATTTATGCCAATCATTTTAGCAAACATGTATAGGTTTGCTTGTCTTCAGCCATTCATTCAATTCAACAAACACAGAGGATGTATTATGTTAGGTACTGAAGATATAGCATGACTAAAACTAAAACCCCCATGCCTTAAGCAGTTTATAATTTATTGAGTTTAACAATAAACAAAATAAGTAAAAAAATACTACATATTTTAAATATATATGATTTGTTAGTTACAAATAAGAAGGTAAAAACTTAAAGGTAGAGGGACAGGACATGAAATGTGTATGTAGGTGGGTGGACTAGAAAATTTTAAAAGGTGACTTTTGAGTAAAGACCTAAAGGAACCAGGAGTGATTTATATAGATACCTAAGGGAAGAATATTTGAGGCAATAGGATCAGTCAGTGCAGAGACCCTGAGGCAGGAAGCTGCCTAGTATGTTCCAAGAATTGCAAAGAAACTAGAGTAATTGGACCAGAGTGGACAAGGGCCTAGGAAGAGATAAGAGAGGCAATGTAGAGGTCTCATAAGTTACAGTGGGAACTTTAGCTTTTATTTGAGTGAGAAGCTGCTGGAGGATTTGAGCAGAGCAKTGACATACTCCAAGTCAGTTTTCATAAACATTGACACTGTGTTGTCAAGGAGGTGGAGCCACGGGAACTTTTGAATAATGCTGTGGGTGTCTCACTGGTACATAAATTAGAGCAATTTAAAGATGCTCAGACTCTACAACTCAGCAGTTCTCAAAGGTATTTCTTTTTAGAGAAACCTGTATGACACCATATAGAAGAATATCAGTCACTACAACAGTGTGGTTTGTAAGAGCAAGTATTTTAAAACAATTTAGATATTTTATCAGCAAGAGACTGGATTGTGGTATATTCATGTAGGGAATTCTGTAGTTTTTAGAAAGAGACCTATAAGCATTGGAATGGATAAATCTGAGAACAATGGTAAATGAGAAGAAAGCATGTTGTAGAAGAATATGAATGGTATGACACCATTTAAAGGACTTYTAAAGGTGACACAATAGATACTCTGGCATTTGCTTTATTATTCTTTATGGTTTTGTCTATGTTAGAAATATTTCATAACATAAAAATGTATAGAATGAAAATTTAATTGTAAATACAATGTAAATTAAGGCTCCCTTCCACCCCTACCCATAGAGTAGGGAGGGGGAAGGGAAAAGAGAAGGGGAAAGGCAAGTGAAGCAGTGAAGCAGTGGGCAGGCTGTGGGTGGGTGGGTGTGGTTTGATTTTTTTTTTTTTTTTTTTGTGGTGCTGGGGATTGAAACCAGGGCCTTATGCATGTGAGGCAAGCACTCTACCACCTGAGCTTGATATACTGTTTGGTTCTTGGCTTCCTATAGTGGTGGCTGGGAAGGTTACTGAACCAATCATCATGGCCCTTCTATAGAGGTCTGAGGAATTTGGGTTTTATCCTTAAGCAGAAGGGGTTAATTGAAGGATTACAAACAGGCAAGAGAAATGTTAATAGCTAAGGGGACAAGAATACTAAGGTCTAAGACAGTTTTCTTGCTCATCATCCCTCCCGAAAGATGAATTATTTTATTTTATTTTTTTAAAGAGAAATGAGAGAGAGAGAGAGAGAGAGAGAGAGTTTTTTTTTTAATATTTATTTATTTTAGTTCTCGGCGGACACAACATCTTTGTTTTGTATGTGGTGCTGAGGATCGAACCCGGGCCGCAYGCATGCCAGGCGAGCGCGCTACCGCTTGAGCCACATCCCCAGCCCCACCGAAGGATGAATTATTGAGCTTTAACCAGACAGGTAGAGTGGGTGAGAAAATGTTGATTACCTTCCAGACCACTTGAAAACACCTTCCCTCCAACTGCTGCTGTGCCATGGTACTGGACAGCTTAGGRCCACATTCCAGAGAATGCTGGACAAGTCTTTAAATCAGTACAGGTGGCCTTACATATCCACAAGTCTCACATCTATAGATTCAGTCAACCTTGGATCAAAAACATTTGAAAAATGTTTCATCTGTATTAAATATGTGTAGACTTTTTTCATGTATAGATAACAGTACAGATAACAACTATTTATATATCATTTACATTGTATTAAGTATTATAAATAATCTAGAGATGATTTAAAGTATATGGGAGGTTGTGCATAGATTATATGCAAACACTTTGTCATATTGTATAAAGTACTTGAGCATCCTTGGATTTTGGTATCTTAGGTGTCCAAGAAGTAGTCCATCACAGATATTGAGGGGCAGCTATATAAATATATTTCTGTACCAGGCGTCCTTTTGCTCTTGTTTTAGTCTCCTTTATAACTCTGTGACCAAAAAGACCTGACAAGAACAACTTTGAGRAAGAAAAGTTATTTTGACTCACGGTTTCAGAGGTTCAGTGCACTTTGGTCAACTTCATAGCTCTGGGCCCAAAGTGAGGCAGTTCAGGACATGGCAACCAGGAAGCAGAGGAAACAAGCTCTGCTCACCAGGGACAAAATATAAACCTCAAAGGTACACTCCCAGAGATCTACTTCCTCCTACCACATCCCACCTGCCTAGTTACCACCCAGTTAACCTGTATCAGTAGAGGATTAGGTTACAGTTCTTACGATCTAATCCATTCACCTCTGAACATTCTTGCATTGTCTCATACCTGAGGGTTTGGGGACACCTCATGTCTAAATCATAACATCCCTCAAGCTAAATTCTGAAGTCACTAATAGGGCTTCTAAGATCCTCTGGCCTGTCCATCTTTAATCTTTGGCTACACCTGACCTCAAACTTCCTTGGCCTTGAACTGTTTGCTCTGCTCTTGCTGTTCCCTCTTCCTTGATTATTCTTTTCCTTATTCACTTGAAAACTTCTACTGTTTTTTCATCCCAAGTTAGACAACACTTTCTCTAGGTTTATTGCCCTCCTTAAGTGCCCGAGGGGCAGCCTGGACTTCACTCACCTCAAATTCTTGGGTTAGATATTTTATTGTCTGCCTAGGGTGCCTGAGTGTGTTTGAGGCAGTGACTGTCTCTGTTGCATCACTGTGTCCCTAGCACCTACCCCAGGGCCTAGAGGATACTGGGTACTTAATAAATAATGGCTGTTTAGATCTGAAGTTCTTTGCTTTCTAGTTATATGGTACTATAAATTAATATTTTGGCCAGATGAGTTCTTATGCTTGGATGGTCTCTGCCTGCCTACAGTACACGGATAGTTTTGTCAATTCAATGAAGCTTTTTGTGGGTTTTGTTTTATTTTTTCCTCTTAGGTGGTAGGCAGACAGAATAGCAGTGAGATTTAGTCTTTGACTAGAACAGATTTGTGGAAGGAAAGCTAATGCTGGTGACTCTGTGTTTCCTTTCCCAACTGCCTGTGTTTCCTTTCCCAACCTCAGGTGCCAGTGCTTGGCTCTGAAAAATACTTATAGATTTCTGCTCACTAGCTCCCCCAATACAGTATTTTCTTTTCTTGGTACCAGGGAGTGAATTCAACGGTGCTTAACCACTGAGTCACATCTCTAGCCCTTTTTATTTTAAGACAAGCTCTCCTTAAGTTATTTAAGTCCCATGTTGATGAGGGTAGCCTTGAACCTGCATACCTTCTACCTGAGCCTCCTGAGCCATTGGGATTGTAGGCATGTGCCACTGCTCACCATTGCAACAATTTTCTTAATTTTGTCAAGGTGCCTAAAATTATCCCAAAAAGTGTAGCAAAATATTAGTGAAATTGAAAAATGAAATTCATAAAATGTATTAATCTCAATTTAAAAATTACATCTGTTCTACGTAGTATGTATTCTAGGTAGGGAGAGACAAAGATGGTGTTCATAAAATCAAGCAAATGGTGAAAGGGGTGTGCAGAGCAAGGCACCCTCATCCGCTCAGGGGAATGTTTTCTAACCACTAAAAAGGATAAGCCAATTTATATGACTTGCTTTGGTAGAATTTCTAGGCTATTTTAAGGTAAAAATGGAAAATTGCACAGTAGGATATATATGTATGTCATCTATATAAAACCACATACGTACGCATACACTACATTTGCATATATGTGTAGACTATTTCTGGCAGGATTGACCAGAAACTAGTTACAGTGATGAGCTCTAAAAATGCAGAGTGAGGGAGCCGAGAGGGAGGGAAATGTGCTTTTCTCTATATTCCCTTTTGTATCTCTTCAATATGGAACTGTTAATATAGTACTTTTTCATTAAAAGAAGCAAAAAGGATGGCTTAAACATGTGCATACACACTTCCTCTTTGACACGACCAGAGTGATGTGATAGATTAGATCAGCATTTGTCTAAAGTGTTCTGTTTCTCTGGCTCTTCATTTATGCTATGGAAGGACCTGTCTGATTCGGCTTCTTTCTCTCTGGCATTGACATCTGACATGTAGAAGAGAGAAGTAATCATTGCTTCTTGTATTCTGATGGAAGGCTTAACAAAATGTCTATGAATTTTTTTGATGATCCTCCAATAAAAGAAACTATACACAAATCAATGTCTTTATTTACCTAATTGTGGAAGGTGTTTTGGCCTTTAGATATAATCCTTCTAGTCTTTAAGGTAGCTAATTACTGAGTTAATGTTTTGACCTTTTTTTAGAAAAAAATTCCCATTAAGTGTTGATTACATCTAAAATTCATTTTCCCTTGCTTGTGAAGAGAGAGGAAGATAAGAAATTATTCTGTAAGAATCTAAAGGCCAGTGCTTATTTTCCTGTTTCTGAATTTTCTGGTTGCTTTTGCAGGCCCCTTTTGGATATGTGCCACATTGGTCTTTGCCATAGCAATTAGTGGGAATCTTTCCAACTTCTTAATCCATCTGGGAGAGAAGACATACCATTATGTGCCCGAATTCCGAAAAGGTTGGTGAATAGCTTGACTCATTTAGAATACCGTCAGTTTCTAACCGTGAGTCCTTTTACCCACTGAGTGTGTGGGCCCCATCTCTGCATTCTCTGTTTTAGGGGTTAAACATTCCTATTGTCTCAGGGTTTACCACCCATCTATATAAATCGATATTCTCTCTCTCTCTCTTTTTTTTTTAAATATGGTAAATTATACTATTTATATGTGTATATAAAATTTTATATATACATATATGAAACATACATAAAATGGTAAATTTTATGTTATATGTAACTAGCTTCTGCCTCTTGTGGCAGAAGTTAATCATTTAACTTCTTGGGGCAAGTTAATCATTTCTCTTGACCTCATATTCATTGGTAAAATGGAAATGATAATATATTACAGGACTATTTAAAGAGTTGATACATTGTAAAYAGGTTAGAATAGTGATTTGTACAAAATGAGTTCAATAAATACTATTGCTAAATAGATGTTCCTATATATGTATATAGAGACATGTGTGAGAGAGTATCCATATATCCTTCCTTCTTTTTGTCTCCTTTATATATTGTGTGCTTTTGTATCTGTGCATGTTATATTACATATAACRTAAAACTTACCATTTTAAGCATATATTTAACTTAATATATCAAAATTTTAACATTTTAAGATATATAATTCTGTGTATAAGTACATTCACAGTATTATAAATGCACATAATTTTTAGGAAAGCTGTATTGCAATTGGAATTTATTCTAAAAACAATGTACAAAAGAACTGTAAGGCAGTGTGCACGAAGGTCTGTATCCTAGCATGATTTGTATCGTTGGAGGACTGGGATAACCTATTGTTATTTAGGTTGATGGCTCAGCTGGCTGAGATTGGCTGTGGCCACAAATGATGAAGCACCCAGAGCAACAGGGGAAGCTGATCTCTTATGCCAAACTGGGGCCTTCTGATAGCAGATTTGTTATCGAGGAGTGTGCAAAAAATGGCCAAGGCCTGGAAGGGAAAATGCAGAAGTGAATGTGACTGAGAGATGGGCTTGTAAATGACATTTTTGTTTTAAAACTTACTTTCTTGAATCAGTATTGGGCAGTTAAGAGAAAAGAAAACAGCTTTCAGACACTTGCAGGTGATGTCAAATTGAGGAAGATTGGCTTTATAGGAGACTGACCTGTACTTCCTTCTCAAGTCCTGGCCTCCCTGTCCGCTCTCCTGCTAGGGTAGCTGGAGAAGAACTCCCATTAGACCACTGCAGCTTCTAGCTCTGCCACTGGCTAGCTTCTGCCTGTTGGGACAAGTTAACCATCTCTCTTGGCCTCAGATTCATTGGTAAAATGGAAATGATAATACTTACATTACAGGGCTATTGTAAGAGTAAAGAGTTGATATATGTCAATAGATTAGAATAGTGATTTGTACAAAATGAATTCAGTAAATACTATTGCTAAATAGATATCCATATGTATGTATGTAGAGACGTGTGAGAAAGAATCTATATGTCCTTCCTTCTTTTCCTCCCCTTTATTCTGTGTGTGTGTTTGTGCATGCATGTGCAGAAGAGAAAGTGTGTAAACCCGTAACCTTCCTTCTCCATTATGAGTTCAGTTCTCACTCTGTTTATCAAATATCTTTGGTTTGAATTTAACTCAATAAATGATATCTATATGAGATTCAGATCCTGCCTTCAAGTGGTTCAGTGGTTAAATAAAGCAAGATAGGTGAGTGAATATTGCTGTAAGTAGTTTATGTTAATCTCTTTATTGGAGGTATTTTGACAGAAGAGTAACTCACCCTTCCTGGGGATCTGGAAGCATGGTGGGAGTCTTCATTTCTTCTTAGCCTCTTTGGCTGGGTATCCCAATTTCAGGGATGTGATGTAAGTATTAATAAGATAGAGGCCCTATCAATAAACATTTTCCCATTTTATATAAACAATATGAATCACATGTGGGGTTAGATCCAGCTTCTTCCACCAACTTGTTAATCATGTGACCTTGCCGTGTGGCGCACGCCTATAATCCCAGTGGCTTGGGAGGCTGAGACAGGAGAATCCTAAGTTCAAAGCAACGGTGAGGCGCTGAACAACTCAGTGAGATCCTGAATCTAAATAAGATACAACATAGGGTTGGGAATATGTCTCAGTGGTTGAGTGCCCCTGAGTTCAATCCCTGGTACCAAAAAAACAAAAAAGAAAATCATGTGATCTTGACCAACCCCATAGCTTCTCTGAACCTGTTTCTTCTCAAAAATGTATAGATTATATGAAGTAATATGTCTACATACTAGTTAATAACACAAAAAGCTAATTTTTTTTTTTGGTACTGGTGATTAAACCTAGGGGCTATTGTAAGAGTAAAGAGCACATCCCCAGCCCTTTATATTTTTTATTTGGAGACAAGGTCTCACTAAGTTGCTTAGGGCTTCACTAAATTGCTGAGGCTGGCTTTGACCTTACAATCCTCCTCAAACTCCTGAACTACCAGGATTACAGGTGTGTGCCACTGTGCCTGACCAAAAAGCTAATTTGTGTGTGTGTGTGTGTGTGTGTGTGTGTGTGTGTGTGTGAGAGAGAGAGAGAGTTAAAAAATGCTCTGGGGAGGCTCAAAGCATTTTGGGTAATCACATGTCTCTTCTTTTTCTTTTTCTTTTCTCGTGTTAGGGATTGAGCCCAGGGCCTCACACATGCTAGGCAAGTGCTCCTACCACTGAGCTACATCTTAACCAGCCTGGATGCAATTGCTGTGGGGGCCTTTGTTCTTGCCAGAATGTGTTAAATGAATTACCTACTGAGTTTCATGTAGGAAAGGCTGATGCCATGGCTTACCCATGTTTTATGACCCTCTACTCTGAAAGTGGAAGGCAAGTCCTCTGGGGCATGCTGCTCCTAGAGGAAGAGGAGAGTAGTATAGTGATATATTGAATGCTCCTGTTCCAAGGAGCTGCCAACTAGCACTTCCACCACCAAGGCAGTTTTTTATGTAAGGAAGAAAGTGAAACTAGAGAATAGTTCAACAATTTATCAGTGATTTGGAACTCTGTATTTCAGGAACAGAAGGATCTCTAAATAGCATGCAGAACAAGTTAATCTGTACCCAGGGCATTTTAATAAATTTCCTAAAGAAATCAGTGTCAGCTCTTGTTTCGCTAAGGAGGAGGATGTGTTCTTCCAAGGGGATAGTTGGCTTTTATTTGATTGAAATGCTCAGTGTACTTACCATTATGTCCCTCTGAAGTATCTCAGTTGTTTAATAATATAAGTTGTTAGTTATCAAATGAACTGTAAAAACTATATAAGAGAATACYAGTCATCACCACAAAGGTAGACACAGAAGATTCAGTAGTTCACAAACATTTATCAAGTGCCTGTTATGAGTCAGGTCCCATGCCCAGGAAATGAAGACTAGCAAGATGTGATTCCCCCAGTCCATTGATGTAAATTGTCATGTTTAGAAAATCAGGACAGTTAGGTATCAGAAGTGCTCTGATAGTATGTTAAAGCTCTATTGGGGATGAAAACTGTGTCCTGTCATCCGCAGTGTCCATAGCAGCTACCATCATCTATGCCTATGCGTGGCTGGTTCCTCTCGCCCTCTGGGGTTTCCTTGTGTGGAGAAACAGCAAAGTTATGAACATCGTTTCCTATTCATTTCTGGAGATTGTGTGTGTCTATGGCTATTCGCTCTTCATTTATATTCCCACAGCAGTAAGTATCACATTGTGGAACAGACTCTGGGTGATGCTCTGTTCTTGGTTGAAAGTTCCACCAGGCATTGTTATTTCCAGCCTAACACTCATGTGCTCCTGACATTCCCCTTTGAATTTAAATTCAGCATGAACAGGGTTTGGGGGTGAGTGCCGGATCATGAGCCCTTGGTTATGAAAGGGTCCACCTCAGTCTGCATGCTGGTGGCATTTCTCCAGCTTATACTGAAAACCAGACTGGCAGCGGGGGCCCAGCTGCTGATTGGCTGGGGGTATATAAACATATGTGCCTGGAATGAACAAATACCTCTCTGAAATGCCTCCAAGAAGCCCYTCCCCACCTCCCTTTTCTTTTCTTTCAGATACTGTGGATTATCCCTCAGAAAGCTGTTCGTTGGATTCTAGTCATGATTGCCCTGGCCATCTCAGGATCTGTCTTGGCAATGACGTTTTGGCCAGCTGTTCGTGAGGATAACCGGCGCATTGCATTGGCCACAATTGTGAYGATTGTGTTGCTTCATATGCTTCTTTCTGTGGGCTGCTTGGTATGGTCTCATTCCTGTATTCTTTTAGTGTGTATTATATGCAAATGCTCAATGACCTCAAATTGTTAGATGCAACAGTTCTTTTAAAATAGCCTCCATGAAGTCAACACTGTTTTAGACTCTCCTCTTCCCTCTTTAGAGGGAAGTGGTCTAAGTTAAAAGAATTTGATTGTAATCTCTGCCTTTACCTAGTTTCTGTAATCTGGTTAAGGTTTAGTGTCTTGCCACAGGAAGTGTGGGTGGACATGTGCCTCTGTATCGAGTTGGGGAGCAGGACTGGGGGGACTCTGCCTTTGGGTGCCTTGATGGTTTCCAGCGTGTATCTAGGAAGACTTATGACATTTGAAGTTTCATGGGTAGAAAGAATGAAGTCAAATACAGGACAGTGGAGTTGTTTTTAAAGTGGACCATATTTAGAGCAGGTTTTGAGTTCCTGTGCCTAGATGTCTTTTTAGGAAGAGCCTTTGCTTTTGATTCAGGCAGCTTTCACTTTTGGCTATGTGAACTTGTATATAGTTCTGTATTWCTCTGAATCTTAATTTCTTCCTCTGTTGTATGATAATAATTCCTGCTTGTAGTGTGTTTCTGAGGATGAAACAAAATAATACATAGAAAGCATTTAACATAGAACTTGTCTTATAAATGTCCATAAATTAAGTCCCTTTCCTTTCATCCTATGGAGACATGGCTGATCCCTTAAAATGCTGCAGTGCCCCTTCTGGATCCTTCTGTCTGTTGAGGAATAATGTCCTTTCCGTCATAACTTACTCACTCACTGTAATACCTTACACCAGCATCTTTCCATGTCTCTCCTGAATTTTCCCCCATTGTATACTTTCCTGAGAAGTTGGTGAAGAGGAGGAGGCAGAAGAAAAAGAATTGTCTTTTAAAGCACTATAAGAACTAGCAAGGAGCAGGGAGAATTGAACACTGGAGTAGGGAAGTATTATTATTTTCTTTATTAATAAGAACCTATTTCATGTGGTACCTATGGCAAGATATTTAACTCCTGTACCTCTAATTCCTTCTGGGATAAATGGCATTGAAGGTGCCCATCTTGCTGCTCAAGAATTTTCTAGAAGAGGGCATTACTAAGAAGTACAAAAGTCCAGGTGCAGTGGTACATGCCTGTAATCCCAGCAGTTTGGGAGGCTGAGACAGGAGGATTGGAAGTTCAAAGCCAACCTCAGCAACTTAGCGAAGCCCTAAGAAACTTAGTGAGACTCTGTCTCTAGATAAAATATAAAAAAGGGGTGGGGATGTGGCTCAGTGGGAAAGCACCCCTGAGAACCCCCTGGGTTCAATCCCTGGTACCAAAACAAAAACCCTGGACTGGGAGGTGCATAGCATTGTGAACCAAGGCAACTTAACACTTAGAACCTTGGTTTCCTCTTCTGTCAAAGAGATTCATATCTTCCTAGGCTTCTTTGAGATTCAGTGAGATGGCTGCAGAAGCCCTTCATATATTATAAAGTGTTCTTCAGAAGGAAAGATGTTAGGAAAAGAGACCCCATGTCATCAGAAGCTGATGGGGCCTGTCTGCTGCATATTGCTCCATGGTGCCCCAGCAGAAGTGGTCCAAGGCCACACAACTCACACATAAACTAAAGCTTAAGCCTCCCATTCTCTTCATGGTGCCCTTTCATTGGTGCTGCTCACCAACTTCCCATCTTTCTCCTGAACTTTTTACCCATTATGAAYCTGGTTGAGAAATTGGTGAGTGGCGAGGAGGTAGGAGAAAGGGCATCTGTTTAGCTCCCTGGGGTCTCCAGAGCAGGGCAGATTGGATTGTGGGGTAGGAAGGCACCTTGGGAGCAGGACATCCTCTTGAAGGACAAGGTCCAGTTTTCTCCTTGTGGAGAAAGGGAACCACCCTGTGGTCAGTTGTTTTGCTGCCCCTGACTCCCCACCCATTCTAGGGCCTGGGTTTTGTTTTCTGTACTGGAGATGGCCTTCTCCTTTTTCTTTTGGATGAGGACTAGCTTGGAAGTGAGGAGACTCAGTTCCAGTCCCAGTTCCACCACCCCCTGCTTTGGTTATTTCCCACTCTGCACTCCTGCCTCCTTACTTAGAAAAAGGAGCTGATCATGCACACCATAGTAACATCGTTACTGTTATAAGGATCAAGTGATATTTGTACCACAAAAAATATGATGTTGTACAAATGGGAGACATTATTATTATTATCAGAAGGGCAGAGAGAGGAATTGGCAGGGGAGTCATTTAAGCTGAGGGGCACCAGCTAAACCAGACAGCCTGGCTTCCTCAGACTCTCCTGGGAAACATGGATTGGTGTTTTTGCCTTATTGCAGTGAAGCATGTAACAGTCCCACACCTGCTGAGGGCCCCTTGGTGCAAATGATCTCTTAAGTTTTTACTGGAACACACCTGGCAGGATGGCTAAGAAAGCACCCGAAGGATACATCTTTGGCTGGGATGTTTAGAGCAGTGTTAAGCCTCTGTTTGTGTGGTTACGGCTCATAGATGGAYCTGAGTCCTATCTCTACTGTGTGCCTTCCCTGAGGCCTCTGCAGTACAGATCTGAGACCAGCCTAGACCTGGTGCCAAATTGTAGCCATGTGGGAAGATAGAAGAGCCTGAACCATGGAGGTGGACAGAACTGGATTAGAATCCCAGCTTAGACACACAGTTGTATAGCCCTGGGAGAATCTCTGAGTCTCAGCTTTCTCATCTTTAAAATGGGGATAGATTTTCCTACTAACAGGTTTCTGAGCTGATTAATGATTATGTGCAAGAAATGGTGTTTAGAGATCTTTTTGTTTGTTTGTTTGTTTGTTTTAATCATTCAGTTTTACAGATAAGAAAACAGGCCCATGGGTTGGGGCTGGGGCTGAGTGGTAGTGCACTTGCCTGACGTGTGTGAGGCACTGGGTTAAATTCTCAGCACCATGTATAAATAAATAAAATAAAGGTCTATCAACAACTAAAAARCTTAAGGAACTTATTATTAAAAAAGAACAAAAGGAAGAAAGAAAACAGGCCCATAGGGTGGAGGGGCTTGTCCAGAGTATAGTGCAAGTTAGTGGCACAGCAGGCTGTAGAACCAGGGCCTCTTGGCTCTTCCATCTGAAGACGGGTTCCTCCCATAGCCTGGAAGAGCACCACCCACCTGCACCTGCACCCTGGGCCTTTGTGCTCCTGCAAGAGGACTGGAGGAGCCCTGAATGGTATGGGCACTATGGCCTCTGTCCTCAAATTTGGGACTGTTTTTCTGTACCCCAGAAAACAGCTGCAGGAAGGGGCCCTGGGAGGAAGGCTTTTAAAAGTAGTGGAATTGCCCTCAGAATATGACAAACTACGTGAAGTCTGCTGAAAAAGGTGTCAGTGGAAAACTGAAAAGGTCTGTTAAAGAGTTAAGGAGAAATAGGATTGTGCTGGGGAAGCGTCAGCATGTGGTGTTGGTGCCCTCTTCTGGCTGATAGAGAGCAYAGCTGCTGAAAAATTGTTCTTGAGTTGGTGGCTTTTTAACTTCTCACCTTCCTAAGGCACTGAACCAAGGGGGAGCCATGAACACTTTTGGTTCTTTTTTTGTGTGGGGAAGGGCACATAGAGATTGAATCCAGAAGCGCTTTACCCCTGAGCTGTATCCCAGGCCCTTTTTAGTTTTTTGAGACAGGGTCTTACTAAGTTGCCCAAGCTGACCTTGAACTTGAGATAGTCCTGTCTCAGCCTCCTGAGTCTCTGGGATTACAGGTTTGTGCCACTGCACCTGGCTCAGTGGTTCTTGATACACCTTTCCTTTGAACAACCAGTGTTCAAAGCTAGTAAGACTGGTATTTTCTTGGGCTAAAGTTAGGATTCTCAGACCTTGAGACAGCAGGGAGGACCCTCCTTGATGTCTTCCCTCCTCTACCTCCTGATTTTTGACAGTTAAATTACAGGTGGTGAGTGGAAGCACTTATCTAACCTTTCATTTCCTAGCTGAAGAATTAGGAGGGGAAGCATGCCTAGCATTTTCTTTTAAAGGTCTTTTCAGAAAGCCAACTAATGGTTTAGCAGCAATCTGTCATAGTTCAGTTCATTAGGTACTAATTGTTTACATAGTGTGCCAAGCTCTGTGCGGGGTGGTAGTGACACAGATGCAAAGACAGATCATCTTTGCACTGAAGGAGAGASTAGAATTAGCATGTGTACTTTGGAGTCAGAGGGACCTACCTTTGAGTCCTGGCTCCACCACCCATGTACTATGTGTACTTGATCAAACAACAGTGTCTCTGAACCCAAGTTTCTTCACCCGTCAAATAAAGAAAATTGTAATGACGTCACAGGGTTGTAAGAAAGATTTAGTGAACAATAAATGGTAGCAGCAGATGAGTAATTGAGACAGACATAAACAGATAGTTGCAGGTCAGTGTGGTCATAAATATGGCAGGGGGATTGTGGGGACTGAGGACCATGGTGTCTTAACTTTCTCTTCATGCCTCTCTTCTTTCAGGCATACTTTTTTGATGCACCAGAGATGGACCATCTTCCACCAGCTACAGCTACTCCAAACCAAACAGTTGCAGCAGCCAAGTCCAGCTAGCAAGGAAAGTAAGAGATTGTATTTTCATCTTGTGTGTGGTGTAGTAAAAAGTGGGTAGCATCATCATTTCTGCTACTGTTGGAGTCAAGAAGAGAGAGGGCCAGACCCTTTTGTCTTTGCACACTGTTTCATGTGGTATGTCTGTGTATACGTCCCTCTTGTTGAAAGCTTCAGTTCTGATATTGGTATCAATTTGGTCTCATAGAATTGGGGAACATGAGCTCTTAGATTCTGCAGTAAGAGAAGCCCCTCCTTTGCCCTGGGATTCCCCCTCCCCTACTCCTTGTACCCTTGCTAAAGTTAGGATGGGTTTCTTCTATTTCCTAATAGACCTGCTGGTTTTTCTAGCAGTTCTGTGACTTCTCAGGCTGGCTTCAGACCCTGAGTTGATGCCTCTTGAATTAATCCTGGAGTCCTCCAAAGGCTTCTAAATTGTTATGCCTCATTTAATACCAGGGCCTCTGAGATGATTCCATTGTCAATGGCTGGCTGAGTGGGTCAGAGTATAGGGAAGAGACTTCAGGGTTTGTTCCTCGCCTCCCTCTATTACTTCCTCAGCATCCAGAGCTGTGCTCATGCTGAATTTGTGTGTGTGTGTGTGTGTGTGTGTGTGTGTGTGTGTGTATGTACACGCACACACTCATGTTGCTAGGGCCCAAGCCCAGGCTTTGTTCACACTAGGCCAGCACTCCACCACTGAGCCACTTCCCCAGCTTCAACTTTTGCCATTGCTGGAACATATCATGTCTTTGTGCTTGGCGTTCCAGTTGTCTAGAATGTTTATTCTCTTCCAGTAGCTATCACTCACCTTGTGATCTCATTACACTTTGCACACATCACTCTCTTTGTGTGTCTGTCTGTCCATTAATTTGGTCATTTAGTCTTTCATTTGTCTTCTGTGTATCAGTGTCCATGAGAGCAAGGGATAGGTTTCTTTCTGGTGTACAGTGGGTGCTCAGTGGCATTTGTGGGATGAATGAATGAAGCAATACTCTGCACAGGATCTCACTGTGGGCCCAGAACCTGTACTGTTTTGAAATCACTTGCTGACCTTTTTGCCCAAGCTGTTCTCACTCTTATAGCAGTGGGGTATATACAGAGATCAGGGACTTTACTGTCAAATATAATTAAATTAAATCCTGTTTCTACMCATGTACTTACAGTGTGCCTTGGGAAAGGGATTTACTCTCTTTGATCCTTAGCTAACTTRTCTATAAAACATGGATGATACGACCTATGTTATAAGGTGGTAGTAAAGATGAGAAACTAGAAGTGGTAATTATAAAAGCTTCTGGCACATMGTTAAGATACTCAATAATAAAATCAATGCTACCTCCATGCTGAAAGCAGGCCAACAATTTGTACTGAAATTTGGTGGATCCACCTAACTTTCTCTTGATCCTTAATTTGCTTTTTGGAAAACATGTTAGGAAAACAAGACTTCATGTTACAGGCCCTGCAGTCTGACAAGATGTGGCTGGTCAAAGTTGCCTCTAGTGACCTCATTGCTAAGACAGTCTCCCTGGCTGATGGAATGATACGGGAACTATTGTAAAATGTCACAGGTCATCATCTTCCCATCTTCTCATGGGTAAATGTTAGAATAAAAAATGGTCAGAGCCCTGAGAGAGAATATGGGCTTCCATAATCATTTTACAATAAGGAGGCTTGGGCAAGAAAGCACAGTACCTTGCCCCAAACCACTGAGTTTGATGACAAGCTAACATGCATATATTGTATTTCATTATATAGAAGATTTCCAGATCACTTTCTCAGTGGTTTTCTTACCAGTCCTGTTCACCCATAGTATAGATGAAGTGGCAGGGCTGGAATTTGATTACTAAGATCACCTGTTGCTTGGAGGCAGAACTAGGACTTGAACCTAGGTCTTAGAAGCCCATTTTGAGTTCTGCTCTTGTTTTTGATTGGTGTTCTTTTTACCACCAAAATTCACAGGCTACACTGCTGGCATTTGGCCTTTTTTGGAGCCCTCCTTTGATGATCTAGAGATGGCTRTAGTTCAGAGGTCCCCATATATCTTTGACTTTATGTCCTCTCACTGAGTTTGAGTCCTATACTACTTATCTGTTGCTAACTAACAATATCAACTCAAATTCACCTTTTCACAGAATCTGGGCATAGCTTAACTTGCTCCTCTCCTTCAGGTTCTCTTGCAAGGCTGCAATCAACTGTGATCCAGGATTAGGGTCTCATCTGAAAGCTAGACCGGGGAAATAGGGGAAATATCTTCCCATCTCACATAATGTTGTCAGGATTCATTTCCTTGTAGCTTGTTAGGATGAGTGCCACCTTGCTGACTGACAGTCTTCTGGAAGCCATCCTTTGTTCCTTACCATGTGGGCCTCTTTGATGGCTACTTCATCAAAGTCATAAAGCAAGAAAGAAGTAGTCTTACATAATGTAAATGTGGAAGTGACAGTTGTCACTTTGTTGTATTCTATTAACTAGAAGCAAATCACAGGTCTTGCCTACATTCAAGAGGAGGAGATTACACAAGGGTACAAATATTTGGAGACAGGGATCATTGAGGCCATTTTTTAGTCTGCCACAAGCACTAACCAGTGATATGTGTATATTTGAATTATTTGCACATACTTTCACCAGACTATATACTATTTTAAATATATTTTTTTTAGTTATCAATGGACCTTTGTTTTATTTATTTATATGAGGTGCTGAGAATTGAACCCAGTACCTCACATATGCCAAGCAAGTGCTCTACCACTGAGCCACAACCCCAACCCCTATTAAAGTTTAATYCTATTTAAAATACATGAACTGTAAGTAGAAGTTCTATTTTCCTTTCACTACCTCAGTGGATTGGTTATGGAGCCTGCTACCTTAGGATGAGCAGATGACAGCTTATTTGCATTAGAGTTTCTTGTCTATACACTAATTTAGCTCATCCTACAGATGGCCTCCATTGACTATTGGCAGAGAAGGCCTAGGGCATGCTGGGTCCCTTCCTTAGACTGGAGTCCATGGCAGAAAAAAATGGATTCATATGTATTTGACTTGGTCTCTGTGGTGCCTGGACTCATGCCCAGCTGGCACTTATGGTGCAGGGGCTGGACTCTTGTGGGGAGGGTGGATGAGCCTTTGTAAGATGAAAACACAAGTCAGGCTGAGTCCTTTACCTGAGGACCATTTACTCCCTCACTCACATAGTTAGTGGCCCCTGTGAGCCATGCCTTGGAGACTTTGAAAGTCAGAAACAGTGTCTGCCTCAAGGAGCCTCAGTCTGATAGGGAGAATAGTCTAACAGGTAATGTCATGTTGTGCGGAATGTGCCTTAGGCAGGTTGTCAACTGAGGACTGTGGGAGACACAGTGACTCAGACAGCTTCCCAAGAGGCTCTAATTTGAACTAGGTCCTGAAGATTAGGTAGAAGCAATTAGTATCCTGTTCTAAAAATAGTAGTCAGCTTCCCATGGCTTTTGGGAAGGTGAAGATATAGGTTGATCAGTGAGATCTGATGACACCATGTGAGCCCACATCTCTAAGAATAAGAAAATTTGAGCCCAGCTAGATAGGGACAGAGATGAGAACATGGTGGCAGCACTTGCCTGGGCCTTTCCCTTGGCCCAGAATATCCACCATTAGCCCCATTAATGGCTTTCTTGACCTGGTCTTGAGCTGAGGCTTCAGTTCCTTCTTTGTAGTTTGTTGTAAAGACTCCAGACCAAGAACCCCAGTGCTGTAACCCTGCAGAGAGTCAGAGCAGTGTCTGAGAAGAGCCTGGCCTTTGGGCCCTTGGAGATTTCACACCCTGGTTTACACCGATTTGACACCTCTGGGCTTTGCTCAGATCTGTAAACTTGGGTGTCAGCACCTCCATTTGGGTGTCAAGTCTCCAAATGAGATAGTGATGAACAGCTTCTTTGCAGCCTCCCTGGCAGAAGCATCAATTGCTTTGCCAATAAGAGGAACTGTCCAGAGCCCTGGGYGCTGCAGATTTATGAGCTGGCTGTGCCTTCTACTGTAATCTCTGGACTCCYAGCTTTCACCGAAAAAGAATGGCTTCTAATCTCAACGATAACCTTCCCCACGTAAATCTGTGCACTGGAAGGCTTAGCCTGGAACRAGTTCCTGGGAGAGCATTAACCCCTCCTCACCCTGTAACCTGAGGATTCTAGGGGAGCCTCTAATTACTTGTAAGCAGGGAAGCTTCCCTACATAAATCATTGAGATAGTATAAAGAATGTCTGGTGTCAGTCCTTTCTTTTTCATTAACTTGTAACCCGAGGGCCACTGCCATTTCTTCTCTGAGCCAAGACCCAGGTAAAAATCCTGGAAACTACCTGGGAAGCTCTGCTTTGGCTTGAGGGATAGTGTTCATGAAGGACTGCAAGAGTGGGCTGCCTTCCCATGGGCGGTGACCAGTGTGTCTGTCCAGAGGAGAGCAGCCAGCAGATAATTGTACTGCAGTGTGATAAGGGATTTAATAATAGATGAACAAAAGGCTTCTGGAGAGTTCTTTGTAATTAAAACCCTCCTGATTTGATACACAGGGTTTGTATGCAATTATCCTTTCACTCACTCATGTTGAGAGTTTATTTTATAAGGTATAAACCATCTTATTGGTTTATGCATATCAGTTTTTAAATTCTGAAATCAGCTTTAACTCAATGTTGTAATCCCCTTTAGCCCCATATCCAAACTGCATGATTTCATACCATTGCTGACACTATTATCTATGCTTTGCAAATCAACTGGTTCTAAAATATCCCTGTGCAAAGAATCTGTTTTTGGTCTCTGGGATATTTCTTTCTTAATTTTCTTCTTAGTTCTCTTTGGGGGAACCTGGAGTGGCAAATACAGCACAATAACCTTGTACTTTTTTTTAACTTGGTAGAAAATTTGAACATAGGCAAAAGTAGAATGAATAGTAAATACAAATTTACCATTCATTTTGTGCTAATTGTTTCAACCATTGCCAATTCATGGCCATTCACCTACTCCCCATCTTTTTCTTCTGTCTTGTTTTGAAGCAAATCTAAGTTATCCTATTATTTCATCCATACATATTTAAATTCAATATCTATAAAACAGAGACTCTCTTAAAAACATAATCACCCAGGATGACAGCACACACCTGTAATCCCAGCCACTTTAGAGAGGCTGAGACAGAAGGATCGYAAGCTTCAGCAACTTAGGGAGACTGTTTGGGAAAAAAAAAGAGGGGTGTGCTGGGGACATAGCTCAGTGGTAGAGCACACTGGTTCAATGTCAGTACAGTGGGAGAGAAGGGAAGGTAACAACCAAAATAACATAATGACATCTAAAAAATAACTTTAATATCAAGTATGCTTCAGTGTTTGAATTTCAAATTATAACTACCATAACTTTTTTTCAGCTTATTTAATTCAGATCCAAATAAGGTCCATTCATTGCAACTTTTTGATGTATCTAAATTACAGATTCCTACTCCATTTCCCTGTTAATTTTTTCCATTTATTTGTTGAAGAATGTTTATACTGTTGTTTCTCTCTGTATGGGTTTTGCTGATCGTATTTCCATGATTCATTTAAGAAGTTGTTCTGTTCTTTGAATTAGTAGTTGGTTCTAAAGGATTGATCAGATTCATGGGGATTTTTCTACTTGATATTTGCTGCTGTATACTTCAATCCCCAAACTCAATGTCAAATTATCTCTCTTTCATTTTAGTGGCCATTAACAACCAATGCCTAGATCTGTTATTCCATTATTCCTATCTTCATTTTTAAGAATATTTTATTAGTTGTTGTTGTACCTTTATTTTTATGTGGTGCTGAGAATCAAACCCAGGGTCTCACACATGCTAACCACGCACTGTACTGCTGAGCCACAACCCCAGGTTCCTTCTTTATTAATTAGGAAAAAAAAGGTCTCCCTTCATCTACTGTTTGGTGATCCAGCAGTATAGTTTGTATAAGAAAGGCAAGATAAATGATTATTCTTTTTTAATTTACCTCCTTTCAAAATAGTTGGTTTGCAAGTACTCTTCAGCAATGACCCATTAGCTATCTTTATTGATGCTCAAAATTTCCCCTTTTTGGCTATTGGCAGCCTCTACAGATTGGCTTCTGGGTTGTCTTGACATGGCCTGGAGTCACTGATAACTATATTGCTATCAGTTATGACAAATGTCCCTGGCTTATTTTGAATATTTCCTGTTCTAGATCAAACCTTTTCTTTCAGTGGGGAATAAGTATTTCAGGATCATAGTCTGAAGCTTGTGGTGCTCATTGCAGTGGCTTGGCATTGTTGTCAGGCCTATTTAGTGTTCAAAACTAGGAAATAATATTTGTCTGCTTGTTTGATATTTGCTTTTAAAAACAGATATGCTATGAGTTCATATTGATGCTTCCGATTTCTATTTAATATTACAAAGTTTTTACYGAATTTTTTTATATTTTTATCTCCTTTCTCCTGAAGATCTCACTTCTCAATGATGCCACTAATGATAGAATTGGAATATCACATGAGTATTTACTTGTTTTATCCACCTATGCTCACAACAATCTAATAATAGTATAAACACTACCAGTAATTATTGGAAATATTATTTTAAAATCTTTTAAGAATTTTCTTTTTAAGTTCTGGAATGCCCTTCCTTGCCTTATGTACTTGTCAATTTCAGAAGGATCCACTTCAGATACCCTCTCCTCAAGGGTAAGGGTGTGTGTGTGTGTGTGTGTGTGTGTGTGTGTGTGTGTGTGTGTTTGTTTGTGTGTTTTATTTCTCCAGGTAACATTACTTAATTCCTTCCCTGCTTTTTTTTTGTGTGGGGGGGCTACTAGGGATTGAACCCACCTGGGCTGCTTAGCCACTAAGTCACATCCCCAGCCCTTTTTCACATTTTATTTTAGAGATAGGGTCTCGTTGAGTTGCTTAGGGCTTTGCTAAGTTGCTGAGGCTGGCTTTGATCTTCCTGCCTCAGCCTCCTGAGTTGCTGGGAATATAGGTATGTGCCACTGTGTTGGCTCCATAGTCTTTTTCAGCTCTTAGTATGTTTTTTCTGTAATTTTTCTGTAATAAGTAATTTTCTTATTTACTGTAACTTCCTGAGGGCAGAGCTTTATTTACCAATGTGGCCCTGCACCCAGCAAGTACTTACAGCAAGCTTGATCTTGAACAGATGCTAATTAGTATGCATATAATGTGAAGCCCAAAATTCCCTGGCCAAGTTACTAAGGAAGTTTTTATTTGTTTATTCACTGGGTCTGATCTGTGCTAGGTACCAAGGCTACTGGGATGAACAATGGAGTTGGATCTTCTACATCCCAATTGTATATCTCATGCATTGCACAGACTAGAAGGCCCCTCTAAATTAAAGAGATATGATTATGGAAACTTCTGATTGGAATACCCCAGATCAAGCAGTGATGACACTGGCCAGGTTTGGGTACAGGGCTGGGGCAAGAAAAGGAGCAGAGAATGCTCATGCCATAGTGGCAAAGACCTAAGCAACTTAGCAAGACCCTCTCTCAAAATATAAAAAGGACTAGGGATGTTGCTCAGTGGTTAAGCACCCCTGCGTTCCACCCTCATACCAATGTGTCTTTGTATCACTCACCTACTTAAAAACTTCTTTTATGCTTTGTATTATCTAAATAAAAAGCCCCAACTCCTTGAATTGCCATGATCTGCCCTTAAGGTATGTCCTGCCTCATACCCTTGTGTTTAACCCTGGGTTTCAACTATCACAAACAGCTTTCCACCACCCAAATCTTTTCAAGTCCTTTCACACCCATTTTACCAGCCCTTTTCCAGTTCCTAACACAGTGCTGCCACAGAGGAGAGAAAGAAGGCGGGTGAAGRTAGTTTGAGGATCTGGATAGCAGACAGTCACTGGATTTCCAAATACAGGAAAACTTTTTAAAAAATGTGATCTCCCCTCCAATGTGAGCTCAACTTCGAGCACAAAAATCAGGACTCAGGGCTCAAGATTTTGGGAGCTGGTGACAGCAGATAGTTTCTGGTGTTGAAGTTACACCTTTAAACATTAAGTACCCTTTTCTAAAATTTACCTGTCTGTGAGGGAGAAGCTTTATCTTGAAAGTCACTTTTTTGTTTTTCAGTTCTCTTTGTTTTTGGGAGCATGGTTCTTCTGGACATGGCCTCCGTGGCAGGAATGCAGAATGGTCAAGGCTGGCAGGAGACTGATAGATGGTGCCATACTGGATGAAACCTCATCACCTGTTTAATAAACAAAAATTAAAATATTACTCTGAGGGTGTAACTCAGTGCCAGAAAGCTTGCCTGGCATGTGTGAGGCTCTGGGTTTGATCTCCAGCACCATTAAAAAAAAAAAAAACCCACAAAAATTAAATGTTGTTGAGCAGATGTGTCTTTAAGCCCTTCTTTTCCACCCATCAATCACTGCTGTGACTGTGTGCTGATTGGCAATGAAATGGGAGGGGATAGGTTAGGCATGCTCAGATGCCTTCCTGTTCGCCTCCCAGTCAGATGATGTGCTTCACTGGAGRCCACCCCTAACACCTGAGATACATCTTTCCTAACTTCTACAGTACTTTCTCTGAGTTATGTACAATTATCTGGGTGATCCTACTTGCTCCAAATGCTTGCTACGCTTAATTAGCCGAACAGTATGATTTTGGGTTGGGATTAATTGGGAACTTGGAAAATTGTCTTGTTAACTTGATATTGGGCAACTGAACCTAATGGTTGCAAAATAAATACCTCACACAATGTCTGTGTCTGCATTTCATGGCTTTGACCTCAAGTTTTTCTTTGAGGTTTTATCTTTAGCATGTTGGAGGCTGCTGGGAATCTGATTTAATGTACTAGTTGTAATGATGTATGGGTTAAAATGGAGAGCTGAATTTTTCCTCCTATAAGAATATAACATTAGATCTAAAGAACATATTTATTTGCAACCCATWTTGACATATGAATTTTAGAAATTTTTCTTAGGGTTCTTTGAGTGCTTCAAGGTGGCAAGACTTCCTGACTAGAGTGTATTAAAGGGAGAAACCAGTGAGCAAGCCATGGCTTAAATAAYCTCATTAGTAGTTTTATTTTCTTCACATAAATAGAAGTTTAGAGAGAGTCTGAGGTTACTATGGCTGCTCCATGATGTCATCAGATGTTCCAGTGACTTCTAACTTTTTGTTTTTCTTGTGTTCAGCAGTCTTGACCATGACTGTCATCATCTGATCCCAAGATAACTGTAATCCAGCAAGTGTAGGTAGTGCATATCGTGGCTCTTGCCGAAATCATGTGTGTGATCTTTCAGGCTCAGCAAAGGCTTTACCTGACAGGCCTTGAGGGGAAAGCAGTCCTCTAAGATTAGGTGTAAATCCAGTGCTTTACTTAGTTTATGCTCTTATGTGTATCTGCATTTGTAGTTCAGGCTTCTCCATTTGAAGGCCTCTTTATAAAAGTAAAGGAGAAAACTCAGCTGCTCTGGAGGCTGAGGCAGGAGGATCGTGAGTTCAAAGCCAGCCTCAGCAATTGAGCAATGCCCTAAGCAACTCTGCAAGACCCAGCCTCTAACTAAAATATATAAAGGCTGGGGATATGACTCAGTGGTAAAGCACCCCTGGGTTCAATCCCAGCACCACTCCCCCCAAAAAAAACAAAGTGAAGGAGAAGAGCCCTATCTATGGCCTCTCTCAGGTGCCGCTGCTGAGACTAACATTAAGGGTGGGTGGGGGAGATAGCTGAAGATACTTTTCTTCACTTTCAATATTCAGTACTTTTCTGTCCCTAGCCCTTCCTTCTCTCCCTCTCTCTGGCTCCTGGGTCTATAAAGTGGCAGAGGCCTTTTGTTTAGGAATCCCTTGGCAGTGAGACAATTCCCACGTCTGCATGAATCCACTTGACCCTTGCCTGACATTGTTCCACGGGGAAAAATGGATGATTAGGGAGGCTAGTGCTTTCTCCACTTGAGTTTCTTGCCTATACCATTGTGGTAAAGCGTTGGAGTCCTAAAAGTTATTTTCATTTGTCGTTCTTAATCAACTGTTCTCATATAACACCTAACAGTTCAGCTCTCTCCTGCTCAGCTCAGCTCTTGACAGGCAGCAAGARGGGAAAGGACAAAAGGAGCCAGCTRGTCGAGTTGGCCTGCCTTTTAATGAGCTTCTGCCAAACCCCACCCAGTGTCCTCTGCTTGTATCTTATTGGTAGCTGTGTGTCACATGGTTTCCCCTAGCTGAGAGGGAGGCTGGCAAAATGCTTTTTGGCTGGGCACACTGCCACCCTGCATGAAGTGTTAGGAAGGAAAGAAGAATGGGTTTTAGATAGGTAATGACGTCAGTTTGGATATCCTACTTTTAGAAAAGCTAATGGATGGTAGTTTGTTCATTGTCAGTTTGCAATTGTTGGTTGGCATTGTATAAAGAACTGAGAGAGCATGCCTGTAATCCCAGCTACTGGGAGGCTGAAGCAGGAGGATCACAAGTTCAAGGCCAGCCTGGGCAACTTGGGCAACTTTTAAAATTTAAAAAAGGGCTGGGGATGTATGTCAGTGGTAAAGTGCTTGYCTAGCATTCATGAGGSCATGGATTTGGACCCCATCACTGGGGGCTGCCGGGGCAGGGTGAGAATTGAGAGGAAAAAAAAATCTATGAAAAAAAAATTCTATGGCACAAATGTAGTTTTTGTAACTCCATGAATTTGCTCATGAAAACAGAGCAACCAGGATAGCAGTGGACATCTACAACAAATATGGGTGATAAGATATCCCCACAAATCCCCAAATTCAAGTAGATGGAATGACTAGCAGCTCTAAGACTTGTGTGATATCAGCAATTCTAAGGAAAGAAGCAGATGGAAACAACAACGTGTCTGAGAAATTTAAGAATAAGGGAACCCCAAAATAGCCAACAAGTGCCCCCTGGAAAGCACAGTGGAGCACTAGGAGAAGGGATGCAGAAACTGGGGTTTTGTATAACTCATTTTGTAGTCCAGGTCCTGGGAGCTCTCCAAACTGACCAAAGGTGCTTCCCAGAACACAGAGAAAATACTGCAGGGAACAAAACACAAATAGGCTGGAGGAGGACATTTGGGACAGAAGAAAGAGAAGTCCAGATACTTGTGGGGGAGGGGAACAGAGCCAAGGGATCCCTGAGAGCTTGAAGCACTTTGTGAAAATAGAAAAGGAAGCTGTAGAGCCTAGAGTTTAGAAAAGCTACTCTGACTCACCTCTCCCTCCTAATTGTGCAGGAAAATTAGTTCCATGTAAAAAAAAAGCAACAAAGGACTGCAGTCCAACATCATAATGAAGTTATTTTAAGAAAAATGAGAACAAGGAGCAGAATAACATCCCTGATGGGGATGGACACATTCCATACAGGCTTGCCCACAAAACCAGGTCAGCTATATCTTAGTGTTTCAAAATGAGCTATGAGAAAATAGAAGATGGTATAGTACATGAAAGAAAATCAAAGTTGTAACACAGGGACTGTAGCTCAGTAGTAGAGCGCTTTCCTGGCATGTATGAGGCACTGGGTTCAATCCTCAGCACCACATAAAAATAAATAAAGATACTGTGTCATCCACAGATTTATTTTACTGTCTGTTCGTAGGTAACAGTCTCCTTTGTAAACAACCTAGATTTAAAAGGGAGAAAAACTATGTATGATTGAAGCCTGGCTTATACCCTCTGCTTGTACTATATGGGTTTCCCTTATGGATCTCCCTCTCTTCATTGATCTTCTCCCTGAGGTCTGACCCCCATGAAGCAGACAGCAGCCAACCCACCAAGCAGCCAACAAGAAGTACAACCTGGCTCCAGAAAGCAGGAGCCTGAGCTTTCCTATCAATTTGCTGAACCTTTCAAATTCTTCCCTAAGGCTTGGAGCTTCCCCCCGCCCCCAATGTACCAGATGTACATGTTCTTGTGTCCTCCATGCCCCACAGGGAAATATCATCCATAGGTCTTGAATTTACTTTCTTGTTGCATAGGAGACAATGGATGTCCAAGGAACTGTCTTTCAAAATAAATTTCTTTATTTTGCCTTTGCAATAGCTAATCACATTTTAATCAAGAGTTTGCAGCCTTTTCGCTTGGAAGGATTGAATTTGAAACTTACCACATGGGGAGAAAGAAGTGTTATTTACCACCACCACCCCTTATATTTTTTAAGACTATAAGACTATGGGCTGGGGTTATAGCTCAGTGGCAGAGCACTTGCTTCACCCATGTGAGGCCCTGYGTTTGATCCTCAGCACCACATAAAAATAAAGATATTAAAAGATATATAAGACTATATAATAAGTATATAAACACTTATTGAAATAAACACTTTAGGGGAATTATGGCTTATTTAAAAATATTAGAGCAGTTTGAAAGCAAAGTGTAATTCCATCCCTGAATGATGTTGGGGAAGAGAGTGTTGGCTTAAGGACGAGAGTCCAGGTTTTTCCAGGAACTCCCATTATTCATAGATTAGATCTTCTTTGCCTATTTTTTCTATTTGTCACTTTAAAAAATCATTTTTAGGGCTGGGTTGTAGCCCTAAAATTGGTAGAGTACTTGCCTACCATKCGTGAGGCACTGGGTTTGATCCTTAGCACCATATAAAACAAAATAAAGAATTGTGTCCACCTATAACTAAAAAATAAAAAAAACTAAAAAATTATTTTTATTTCTTTATTCCTTTTTGATTAAAATGTGCCCACCCTTTGTTATGGCATTATTGCTGATTTTTTCTTTTATATTTATTTCTTTCCTGAGTTCTGACACATAATTTCCAAGTTTTTCTAATACCAATTGGTATTGTTATCTTATGTCTTGTGTCAATTTAATTTGTTTTATTCCATTTGAAGGATTAGGTTACAGTTTTCATCCATTTAGTGCATGTCTTTCTGAAGTGCTGCTTGTCTATAGGGATGCTTTCAGACCTTTCTTTTACATATGTGTAAAGTGACTTTCCAAGACCTTACAGCTAAAGAGTGGCAGAGGAATTGTTCATACCTATGTTTATCTGACCTCAAAGCTTGTATCTTTCCACAGTGTGCCAGGAAACTTATAAACGAAAGCTCATTTAATATAACAGCTTACAAGATGGTTTCATTATTGATGAGGAAACTAAGGCTCAGAAAGCAACYGCAGCCAGGTGCAGTGGCACACGCCTGCAATCCCAGCAACTTGGGAGGCTAAGGTAGGAGGATCTCAAATTCAAAGCCAGCCTCAGCAATGGTGAGGTGCTAAGCAACTCAGTGAGACCCTGTCTCTAAATAAAATATAAAAAAGGGCTGGGCATGTAGCTCAATGGTAAAGCATGCCTGAGTGCAACCCTTAGTATATTAAAAAAAAAACAAGAAAAAAAAAAAGCAACTGCTACAGCAACTGCAGATAGTAGCGGGCACTACCTGTGGTCATTACAACATTTACAGGGCACTGACTCTTCAGTTCCTGCTTGACAACAATGGTTTAGTTCTCACACAAGTAGGGGCATCTCTCTCAGTAGCTCAGCATCGAATATGATCTCATGGGCTTTAGTGCAGAGGAAGTAGTAGCCTCCTGATATTTGGGTAATAACTCCTTTCTCCCATTTGCTACCACAGCCCTGTTCTTTCTCCCCTGTGCTTTCTTAGCCCTTCCAACACTTTTATCAGTTCATTGCATTAAATCTTTCTTTGATTGGGGTAATAAAATATTGTCCTGAATAGACATTGTCTGATACAGTTAATTTTGTCCATCCATTCATTTTTTAAACATTCATG